CGGGCCTCCCGCGCGGGCCTCGCGCCCCGGTGCCCGCGAGCCGCCGCCCGGCCCGGCCCGCTCCGACATGCCCCGCTCTGGCGGCCGGGCTCGCGGAGGACCATGACCGCCTCGGCGAACTGGGTGGCGAACGGGGCGAGCCTGGAGGATTGTCACTCCAACCTCTTCTCGCTGGTGAGTGCGGCGGGGCGGGGGGCCCGGGTTTGGGGGGCGCGACCTCCCCGCCGCGCAACTTTCTCCTCCCGGAGCCCCGGCGGCGTCGGCGAGCGCGGCGCCCGGCGCGGACGTGCGTGTGGAAGTCGGGGCGCTGCGGACGCCGGGGCGCGCTCGGAGCGCCCACCTCCGTGGCAATCACACCCCCCTTCCCCTCCCCTTCCCCCGCTTTTTTTTTTTTTTTTTTTTTTCCTCTCCTCCTTCCCGAAATGTGGAAGAGGCTTAGCTCTGCCTTGTGCGGTCGCCGGCGCCGGGGATCTGCAGGCTCGTCCTCTCTCCGGATCGGGGATCGGCTGCCCGCCCGCGTCTGCCTTCTGAATTTCCTTAAAAATAAAATAAAATAAAATAAAATGAGATGGGATGAGATTCCACACTGACACCTGCGATTTCGCCCGAAATCAGTTGATGGGAGGCGATCGTGTCCAGGGAGAGGACTCCGGCCGCCGAAGCTCGCGCGGTTGTAAACACGGACGGACAGCCGCCCGCCCGCCTCTCGGGGCTTACTACGCCGGAGAGCGGGAGAGCCATTGCTCGCAGCCCACGGAAGGTGGAGGGAGCTGCCGCTCCTCGCTCGCCTCAGCTGCCTTTAAAAACTGTTTTCTCTGCCCTCCCAAGGAACACACACACAGACACACACACGCAGGCACAGGCACAGGCACACGCGCGAGCAACAAGCTGGGCGGTTTGATAACATCGCTTTATCTGCCTTTGCCTCTCCTCTCTCCGGCTCTCGCCTCTCTGATAATTGACAACTTTTGCTTTGGAAGTGCGTCGCCTGCCTTAATCTCGAACGATTTAGGGTGTCAATTGTTCTCCTGGAAGCCTGGCACCCGACGACGGCGGCTCGAGTCATCGAAATTAAAAATGTATAGGGCTCCAGCAACTCTTTCCTGGCGGTGGCAGTGACATTTGGTGGTAAATGCCGTCTTTGCTTTTTATTGGGTCGTATTACCTAGCTCTGAAAACATTCGCGTTGTTAAACCTGGCGCTCAGACTGATAATGGGAGTGCGTGGTCTTTAAATACGCGCTTTGTGCCTGAGTTACTGTGTGTGGAGCTATGTGCCCCGGAGAGTACGAATTTGTTTAAATATTGAGCAAAGATTTGTAAACAGATGTAAGGCAATTATGTTTCAAGCGTAGAATATAATTGGGAAATTGGTTGAACGGCTTATTTAATTTAGCCTTAAAAACTCAACTTATTTTAAGTTGTGTGCCGGAATTTTTTGGGGGTGTGTGTGTGTGTTTGGGGGGAACTCTGCCTTTTAGAGAACATGCATTTATTGCAGATTATTTTCTGGAACCCCTGCTGTAGATAGAAGCTTTATTTCCTCTCAGTCCTTGTTTACACTGGATAAATAATTTAGTGTTCAAATTGTAATTAGTTACATTTAATTATGGGTGGCATAGCTGCTTTTTCTCCCCTTGGAGACTAGTGGAGAAATACTAATTCTTGCCAACTTTGGAAGTGTCATTTTATTTTCATGCAGATAAAGAAATCAAGCATGATTTTGGCTTACAAAGGCCGAATGACAGTACCTGGCTTCCACTAGTGTAAAGCAAGCTGATTCCCTTCCACCCTGGATTTTAGGCAGAGTCTGAGTCTTGAGATTCAGTTAGAAGTTGGGGTTCTTCCTTTTACTGCTGTGGTAATTTTCCCTTGATCTTTTGATGTAAGGATAAAACTACTTTTGCCTCCTCTCCTTCTCTCCCACCCCCCCAACTTCTGTTGTCTGTCATTTAGTGTTAGGTTCAGGGACCTTCATAGATCAGCAAACATATTGACTAGGGGGTATTTAAAGCGGTTTTGTTTGGCGCCTGGGTGATCACATTGGCACTTTCACAGGTAATTAAAATAACCAAGTCAACCCATGTTAGTTCGGGAGAGCCCCGAATTACCAGGCACCATGCTGAGTCGTGGTGCAGGTGTGCATGCGGCTAGTTTACAATACAGTGAGTGGTGGGGACAAGTGAAAGACCATTGGGTGCACGGCCTTTCCTCGCCGTCCTCAGCTTCAAGGGGGATGGTGGGGAGATGGGATGTTTGAGAGTCGTTGTTGAAGATTCTGGCCTAAGGGCTGCATTCTGGGTGTTTCTCCTCTATCATCTTTATACCAAAGAGTTAACTTTTGAATTTAATTTAAGGTGCAATTAACTTTTTTAGTAACCCCTAAGCATGCAGAAATGCTTAGATTGTTTTTAAAATATAGAACGTTTATATTTCTTGATACCTGGAAATGACTAAATGCTGTTCATAAATTTTTAAAATTGCTTACTTACTTTTATTTTATGTGTATTGATGGTGTTTTGCCAACATGTGTGTCTGTGTGAGGGTGTTGGGTTTTTTTGGAATTGGAATTACACACCACTGTGAGCTGCCATGTGGGTGATGTGAGCTGAACTCTGGCCCTCTGAAGAGCAGCCAGCGCTCTCAACCCCTAAGCCATCTCTCCAACCCTAAAATTTCTTAGAAAAAAACCCAAACTGCCAAGTCTTTTTTACATGGTTCTGAATTGAGCAAGCTGTCATACTAAGAATTCATACTAAGAATACATTGCCTAAAGAACATTACAGAATAGTTGCATCCAAAGGAGAGACGGTCATCACCTTTTCAAACTCATGTTTTGTGTCAGGCACTTAGCATGTTATACTTCTGAACACTGGCCTGCAGTTTGTTCTGAGCAGAGAAGACTTACCATTTCTGGAAAACGTGCCCACAAGCTCCTGTTACCGTGGATAGAGGTGCAGGCTGGACTAGGGCTGTGTGGGAACAGTGACCCACAACTTCCTGTTATCCTGAGGCCATCGCCAGGGTTTAGCAAAAGCTGGCTGAGCAGTCAGGCACCTTTAAGATTTGTGTTCCTAGTCTTTTACTGAGTTTGTTTTCTGATACTGCCTGGAGCCCTGTTTCCTACACTTTCTTTTCTATCTCCACCCCCTTCCTAAGCTGTGAAAGGCCATTGGACGCATATGGTATAGGTCATTGTGCTGTTTCTTACTCTCACTACTGTGAGATTTGTAGCCACTGCAGGAAATTCATGCCTGGCTGGGCCTTTGTGACAAAACTTTTCTCATGCTGTCTATCAAGTTTTGGGGTGACTCTTGGTTTATTCACTTACTTACAGTTGAGTTAAGTGCTCAGTCTTCCTGTTCGGGAAATGTAACATTGTATCCTGTGGGAGGGAAGACACGTTATAATATCCAGATGGCCAGTGTATCTTTTTGTTTTTCTTTTGAGATAATGTGGAGAAAGTGACTTTGTGCCCTTTTGGCTAGACTTAATTATGCTGGGCACTGGGACTTGAGGGAGCCTTTTCTAATTCTTAGATGTTTGTGCCACATTCATACTTGATTTGCTTAAAATCTCCCATACTATAGGTTAATTGAGTAATGGTGTCAAATTCTCACTGGATTATAACACATGTACACATTGGTATTTAACCGCCTACTGAGGACTATTCATTTTATATTTGAAGCTTTTAGGGGAATTTGTTGTAGACCTAATTTTCTTTTGTCTTAAGAGAATTATTCCTTCCCCCCTACCCCCCAAGAAAAGGAACATGGTTGTGAATGTTGAAAACTTGAGCTGCTGGGAACTTAGAATCCAGTGGGAGGACTGCCAAATGGAGATGAGGAAAAGGAAAATTTGCTAAGGTTTCAGAGTGCTCAATACTGCACACAGTTTGCCCCCTACCCTAGTCTGCAGTTTTAATATTTAAAATAAGCATACATTTAAAGCATCTTTTTCATGATGGTTCATTTTCTTTAATGAAAATATTTATGTTATGTCGGTGTGTTTTCTGTTTAGCATTTGTTGTTAGTGGCACATGGTGTTATAGTATTTATATTTTTAATGGCAATAATTGCTAGCCGGTAATGGTTGCCATATTAACCTCCAATTGCTAGTAAATATTTTTAAGCACATAATAGACAGCAATTTAAGGCAGAGTGTAGCAGTTTACTGGACCGTTTTAAAGAGCCATTTGTACGTGTGATGAGTTCATAATTTAAAGAGAAATAATGTACCTGAGATCTGTATGTGCCAAAGGCTTTGGCATGCTTTTTGGGCAGCAGGCTGGGCCCATTGCTTTCTCTTTGTGACGAGAGTGGGCAGGGGTGTGTTCAAGACAGGAAGTGTTCGTGGAGTGTGTGCAGGCACTTTTGTAACTTGTCATTTTGTTGGCCTGCTCTGGTCATTTTGCCATGAATATGTTAGATTTATATTGAAAAAAAGTCAGGGCATTTCTTTAAGTATCATTAACTTATAGTTGTGGCTTATATTAATTAGTATGGAAAATTGATCTTTTTTGTTCACTAGCTAATTTAGCCTAGTTAATTGTGAGCTAATTGTATTCATCAAACACTTTCAGGATCTATACCCTGAGATGAATAAAGACAGAATTGCGACGGAACTCTGTCTCAGTGTATACAGGGATGCTGTAGATTATCTGAATTTTTTTTTAATGAATAGTTAATTCAGTTATCAAAGTTTGATTCAGAGGTAGTCTAGATATATTTGAAGCCTTTGACTTATTTTTCAAGAGAAGATCATGTTATTTAAGCGATACAGGTAGTGATTTGCATTCCTGTGAAAGAGGATGATATGTTTATTGCAGAGGAGCTAGCCACTGAGAGAGATTAGATAAAGCTTATGAAAATTAGAATGTGGTTGCATGGTAGGTGTGACCGGTGAACTGTGCTGTACAACCATTTATGAGAAACTCGCCAGCATTGCCGTTAGTGGTCTTTAAGAGGCGCTGTGTATGAACGTGCTTGATAGACTGTGTGTGGTGCCTGTTTACCAGAGTCTCTGTTTGGTCATTTTAGAGATAATGTTGTTGCAAAGAAAGAACGGTTAGGACATAGCAAAGGGAATTAGTTAGACAGTGTAAATTAGACAGCCCGTGGGAATAGCTCCCTCCCAACAAAGCAAAAATATAAGACAAGTCCACATGCATTTGCC